AATCTGAATCGGCCTGCAGCAGCCCGAAAGGGGTCCGAATGGGCCATTTTCGGGGGTGCATTCGGTTCGGATGAACCAAATGCACATCCCTATTGGCAAGCTTCCATGGAAGAGTGCAGATTCAAACCTGGGTCTCCCAGATCCTAGTCTGACAATCTTAGGGCCCTTAGGAACAGCAAGGAGGCAAAATGGGGTTTCCCATCATTTCATTGCCACAGTGGTTTCAAGGGAATATAGATAACACATCTCTTAGCCCCCGTGTTTATATCAGCTTCTTGCATAACACTTCTTTTCTGTTCCCCAAGCACTGTAGAAGATCTTATACACGCTCACATTTGTTATTTCTGGAAACATATTATGGAAAGATATTATAAAGCAGGGGGTGGAGGGGGTGGAGGAGACGGGGGAGGAACCGGTGGGATGGGGGGAAACTTACCTCCTCCTGCTGCTTCCTCCTCTGCCTCATGTGTGGAGGTCCATTCCCCCCCTGCGAGTATCGCAGGTCCGCCCCTTGTATTATACAATTTCTCTTCTTTTGAATAATGTTTTCCAGCTTTAGTAGTCAAGAGGATTAGCTATGCAGTACTGAAGCCCTCCCCTCCAATAATCTCATCCAGCCACTCTGCTGGTTGTGAGATTTCAGCAGACATTTCCCACACACTGTCAGGCTTATATTCACAGCCATGATAGCTGGGAAATAAAAGTAAAAAGTATTAGGGAGTTGAATTCTGCACCCAGGGCCATGTGCTGTAATTTTTCTGCATTCCCAAGTATGCCCATTGAAACTTAGCATGCGCACCATCCAGGGTATGTGATTCCACCAAACTGAAAACATGGGTAACTATTACCCTGGTTTTGTTCTATTTTCTAACTGCTGGTATTATTGCAGAGTATGTCTTTTTCGCTTTTTATCTCTACCGTTTTCAAAGAGTTTATTGCTGCTTATTCTCTTTTTATCATTGCTTTTATTCTTCACTTGTCTGTGGTTTCCTATGTTCAGGGGTTTTTAAAGAGTCAGTTTCATCATTTTATGATGTTTTAATTTTCTATTACAAATTACTGCACACCGAAAGGCAGATCATATACCTTCCAAGTAAATAAACAAAATACACACCCTTCCCAGGTTGAGTAAAACAATTTAAATTGTCAATAGATTTGAATAAGTTTCGTGAAATGTGTTTTAAGCACACACACACCCCAATACTGGAACCCCACATTTTATGGGGAGAGAAGCTATGCTTTTTCTTGAGTTTTTAAAAAAACCTTAGTGGGTGGTGCATATGTTCACCATAAAGGAAGACGTTAATTCCATTAGTCTGCCCCCACCCCATCATTCACCACTTGTTTAAACCTAAGTACTTTCCAGACAACATCGATGAGAGGAATGAATGTGTGTGAAGGACAGGATTGGGGTGGGAGGATCCACCTCCAAAGGTGTGCATATGAACAGGGGTCATTTCGGAGGAAAAGAGGTGAAGGAGTCGCTGGGGGGGATCCCTCTCCAGGCCTTCCCTTTGTAGCCACACACGCACAAAGGTTTTGGCTGTAGTGGGCATGGCCAACTCTGAAGCCAGCCGGAACGCCGTTCCTGTGCGTTCCTGCCCAAAAATAGCCCTGAGTTTGGTGAACAGCCGGATTTAAGTCCAGTAGCACCTTAGAGACCAGAAAGATTGGGGGGTGGGGAGAATATAAGCTTCCTTTGTCGGATACCTTTGTGAGGTTGATGGATTTCCATTCCATGCAGCTGAATGAGGTGCCTTCTATGAAGATACCTTCAGAGGACAGCTATGTTGGCCTGCAGTAGAACACCTAGATAGATTCAGGTCCAGTAGCACCTTAAAGACCAAAAATATTTTTGGAGTAAAAGCTTTTCAGAGTCAAAGCTCCCTTTATAAGATAAAGGAGTTTGGTAGCATCGTAGGACGAATCTGCATTTGCATTTTTAAATCAGTTTCGTGCTGCTGTGACACTGTCTTTCTCTATGCTTGTTGGTGTCACAGCAGCACGAAACTGATTTAAAAATGCAAATGCAGATTCGACCGTAGAAACAAACAGAATTTATTCCTGTATAAGCTTTCCGGAATCAGAACTCGCTTTCCTGATGAAGTGAGCCCTCACTCACAAAAAAGTTACGTTGGAATAGATCTTAGTCCCTAAAGGGTCACTGTATTTTTGTTTTTATTTGAAAGATTTTAGACTCTGCTTGCCCCTTTTTCCTCGCTGCTTGATGCCTAAAAATCCTTCCCAGGACACACTTGGATTTACTCCTTCCTTCTTCCTTTGTCCTCCGAACCAAAGTGTTCCATGACGATGCTGTTGGTTCACCTCTGTGTTTTTCATTCCCAGCCAAAGAGAACCTTCATGACGATGCTGTTGGTTCACCTCTGTGTTTTTCATTCACTAAACGGTTTGGCCACTGGGTGAAACAGGATGCTAGATGGACCAGCAAGGGCTCTTTTTACATTCGTGTTTGTTCACATTCATCTCTTGTGATCCTTCACTTGTTCTTTCCCCCTGGGAATTTACACTGTAACCGCTTGGGGGAAGAAATCTGGCCTATGTTTGCTTGGGGTTTGATTGGCCTGGGCTTTTGTTAGAGTCTAATGGGCCGTGTGTGCTGGTGGCACTATGTCATTCATCCCTTGATCCACAAACCCAAGAACAGTATCTTTGTCAGTCCTTTCACTGAGTTTTCCTTTCAGCCTCCCTCGTGTGAATTATTTGAATTGCATTGCCGACCTAACGGAATCTAAAAAGATGTTTTGGATGGTTGCTGGAAATGGAAATTCCTAAGAATTCCAATGGGCAGGCAGGAATTACTTGTGTTTGCCTCTCGCTCATGACCCTTGGGGTGCAATCTGATCCACACGGGAAAAAAATTAAGGGGAGGAAACTGTTGCCTGACTTAAACAGCACTTGTGAGATGAAGTATGTACACAATAGCATTTAAAGTGGTTGATACAAGCATAAAAGCCCAATAGACTCTTAGGCTGAGTTCAGACTGGCAGTTTGGCTCAATACGGGCATGTTTCACAAACGGATTAAACAGCTACAGTTGTCAGGCATTCCCCAGCTGTACTCAACCCATCCTATGACGATTCCCTACCGCGTTAAAAAAGTAACAGGTGAAAGCCATAGCAAAACCCTGGAGGGCGTGTTGATCCCGATTCCCGGAAGTGTGCATGCTAAAAGCTGCAAACAAACTGCATTGCTGCACCTATGTACATAGGCGGGTGTCGCCGAAGCGAAAAACAGCGGCTTACAGCTGCACCTCCGCCAGGGGCGGGTCAGCAGTGTAAACGCTCCCTTGCGCCTCCTCCCCGGTATGCTCCCACATCAGTAGGTGCAGTGCGACCGGGAATCCCCGGCACAACTTGGTCCGGGTCTCTTTGCCCCGCTTCCCTCGTGCTTCATACTGCCAGTCTGTCCTCAGCCTTAGTATGTTTTTTGCTTTCATTCTTTCTTTAAGCAGCAAAGAAGGAATTTTGTTCCACCTGGGGCAAAGGGCATATCTCAACTTTTGATAAACACCTGTATGAATTCTCTGGAACTTGCAATTACATATTTGCCAGTGAATGTGATACTGTCTCCCCGGACTTCAACATCCAGTTCCGCCGTAATCAGAAGAACAAAATCGCAAGAATCATCATTGAGATGGGATCCACTGTTGTCATAGTTGAAAATGGTATCATATCAGTGAAAGATGTTGGGTAAGTGTCCAAAGGGAAAAGCAATATGTATTAATTACATCCCAGCTGCAAAGGAATTTTTGTGTGAAGGAGGGCATAAATTTGCGATCTCAACATAGGGAATCCCTTAGAGAGTAATTCAGTAGCGACAGCTGGTGGTGAATTCAGTAGGCCATCTCTTTATTTTTGTTGACTCTCCTTTTAGATTTTTAAAATAATTTTTTTTAGTCTTTCTGTTGGTATTTAATATTGTTGTGTGGGTGTTTTATGTTCTTATATTGTAACCCATCTTGAGTCTCTTGGGAGAAAGGCGAGTCAGAAATGCTTTAGATGAATGAATAAATTCATATTTGTACATTTCTAAAACACGCATTGCTGACTATTCTGAGTGTAATTCAAGATACTGGTTACAGAATCCTTAGGGTTGCTAGAGGATGTAGTGATGGTCACGAACACAGATAGCTTTCAAACAGGCTTGGGCAGAATCGTGGTCGATAGATCCATCAATGCTACTAGGTATGGTGACTAAAGGGAACCTCCACATCAGGAGAAGGCCTTGGCCTTTATGCCACTGTTCATCACAAGAGCCCTTTATAGATGAGTCCCCCCCACACACACACGTTCACTCACCATGCCGGGAGGGAGAGTGTGCGTGAGCACACTGGCCCCATCCCCAGCCTCTGTGCAATTGCCTGCTTGTCTGCACAGTGGAGCTGATGAATGAATAAATTCATATTTGTACATTTCTAAAACACGCATTGCTGACTATTCTGAGTGTAATTCAAGATGCTGGTTACAGAATCCTTAGGGTTGCTAGAGGATGTAGTGATGGTCGCAAACACAGATGGCTTTAAAACAGGTTTGGGCAGAATTGTGGTCGATAGATCCATCAATGCTACTAGGTATGATGACTAAAGGGAACCTCCACATCAGGAGAAGGCCTTGGCCTTTATGCCACCGTTCATCACAAGAGCTCTTTACAGATGAGTCCCCCCCACACTCACACGTTTACTTACCATGCAGGGAGGGAGAGTGTGAGTGAGCACACTGGCCCCATCCCCAGCCTCTGTGCGATTGCCTGCTTGTCTGCACAGTATGACTGCATGGAGGAAGTAGCCACAAAGACACGCTGTTCCCATAATCAGCAATATTCTGTAAGCAGCATCACTGATCGCGGGGGGGGGGGCAGTGTGTTCATGACTGCACTTCCTCCCAATGTGGTGAGTCGATGTGGGGGTTTGCATCATCTGTACCAGGCTACAGTGAGACAGGATGCTGGACTAAATGGACTAGCAGTCTGATCCTGCCTGGCACTTCCGATGTCCTAAAACTAATTAGAGCTCCCGTGGCATGCTGGGGATTCAAGCCCAGGTCCCCAGATCTTAGTCTAAAACTCTAATCCGTACCCCACACAATGTGGGGTGGCTGCTCTTGAGCAGTAGAAAGCAACTGGGCCTGGGTGAGTCATGTATAGGGTTGCCTCCCCTCTGGTGGGGCCAGGGGATCCCCCAATTTTGGGGGGCCCCAATCCACTGCTGGCCAGTTGGCTAGTGCGGGAAACCCCACCCCTGAACAGCAGTGTCCTGTGGGCACGCCGCTGATGCAATGACGTCACCGGTAGTGATGTCATCATGCTCGGGCCATTGCACGGTGACAATCTAGCATTCAGGGGAAACTAGCATTCAGGGGAAACTCTGCGCGCGGGGCAGAAAAGTTCCAACGAAGACCCGGGAGCCCCCCACCTCAGGTAAGGTGAGACCTGGCATGAACGTTGGGTGGTAAGAAGTAGACAAATGGTTGATGGTGGGTCTGGCCTCTCTCAAATGCCAAAATAGCTCTGGGAAGAGTGATTCTCCATCATTCTGCCTGACACGGACAGAAAATACAATAAAGGGCACAGCAGAGTAAGAATAATGAACCAACATCCACTGAGGAATCAGACACTCCTTTGATCATTTGAGGTGTTAATCCCCAACGTTAGTTTTTTTAGGTTTGAGATTGATTTATTTTTTTGCAAACAAGGGTCATTCTTCAGGTTTGTAGAAAGACCTGTCTTGCCCGTTCATGTCTTCAGTTTTTGGATTTCAGTATTCACTGCTCTGGCCAAATTGAAAATGTGATATATTGATGTATTTTTATAACCTATTGCTTTTTTTAAAAAAAACCTCTTTCTTTTCATCTCCTGGTGGTTTGGCTGCGGAAAGGGGATTACATGGGATTTCTCTGTTATTGTTTCTATTTTTATAATTAAAAAAACTTTAACTACAAAATAGATGTCACAAATCCCTACTGTTCGTTCCATTGGTTGCATACTCAGAGGACGAGAGCACTGTGAATATGTGACATGGGATAATAGCTAAACCTTCTCTAACGGATGAGTCAGTTCCCATTCAGTCAAAGTACTGGGTTTGTCTCAAAAAATTACACTTGTGAAAGCCCTCGGTATATCTAACAATATGTGCTTCCCCTTTTCACAATAGTATAATCAGGCTGCCATATACCAGAAATGGAATTCAGATTGCGCCTTTTGGCTACAACATCCGTCTTTCGGCTAAGCTGCAAGAGATTGAACTAGAGGTTTCTTGGAACAATGATGACTATCTCATGGCAAGTGGCATTTCAGTCCTACCTAGTGATCATATTTTGGGGATCTAAAAATTCCACATCTACTCCAAAAACCCAATTTGGCATGTGTTTTCTGTTTTGGCTGAATGATGATATCATGGAGGGATAGCAAAGCAATAATGATTTTGCTGGTCAACTTGAACTTGTGACCGGATGAGTTAATGCACTTTGCAGACACAAACTGGGCAAATACGGACATAGGCTGCAACGCAACATAAGAAACTCTCTGGGTACTGAATTCAAAACCATAGTGTGATATGGAAGAGGGATCAGATGTTCAAAGGAAAATTAATTATACTTTTGACGGAGATGATCTGAGTCCCTTTCGAGATGCTTAAATATGGAATTGGTGCTTTTTTGGGGGGGTCAACAGTGGGAGGGCTTCTAGTGTCCTGGCCCCACTGGTGGACCTCCTGATGGCACCTGGTATTTTTGGCCACTGTGTGACACAGAGTGTTGGACTGGATGGGCCTTTGGCCTGATCCAACATTGGAGTATATTATGTTCTTAGTAACTCTTGGTCTGGGTCAAGGGATGCTCTGTCTTCTTGGTCCTGGGAGGGAACGATGACAGTGGGAGGGCTCCTAGTGTCCTGGCCCCACTGGAGGACCTCCTGATGGCCCCTGGTATTTCTGGACACTGTGTGACACAGAGTGTTGGACTGGATGGGCCTTTCGCCTGATCCAACATTGGCGTCTCTTATGTTCTTATGTACAAGAATTGTAGAGATTGCACAAAAATGTGCATCCCAAAATTCATAATAAAATGGCCTTGAGCAAATGTTGATGTTGATGCTGTTCATCTAAGGAAAAACATCTTCTAGAGTGGGGTAGTTCCTCTGAAACTCACTTCTCTTGAGCTGGTTCCCTCCCATAGACACACAAGCTTCCAAATGTGTGTTTATGTAGGTTAGGGTTGGGAGTAGGAGTAGCAGGGAAAACAGCCATGGGTGGGGGGAATAGTTAAGCAGCTGCCCCTCCTTTTCTCCACTCCACATCACTATTTCCAGAAGCTGCCGTTCCCTTTAATAATTAACCACGGGCATTCACATGTTAAACATAATCTCCCCATGGTCTTCCACTGAATTGAAAGCTCCTTAAAGGAAAGACTTAAAATGTCAAATTTAATTATCATATTTTGCAATAAAGGGAATAGGGATGCAGTACTGTCTGTGAAATTTTAGGCAATCAATGGCATTGTTCGTTGTATCATTAAAATGTTTGGTTCAAGTAAGGGTGGCGGTTGAGGACCCCACCTTGGGGTGGCAATCAGACCTGTATCTGCCCTTACTCCTCTCCACCCATCCCCACTAACCCAGGGTTGTCTCAGGTATAGTTAGTAATCACAGCCATCACTTCGGCTATTAACCTGGAAGATCCTGGAGCCCCCTTCCATCCCTGAGCAATGTTCCCTTTATTGCAAGGATTAAAAAAAAGTAAAGGTAAAGGTTCCCTTGCTCAAAATCCAGTTGAATCCGACTCTAGGGTTGTGGTGCTCATCTCCGTTTCAAAGCCGAAGAGCCAGCGCTGTCTGAAAACGTTTCCGTGGTCATGTGGCCGGCATGACTAACCACCAAGGCGCACGGAACGCTGTGACCTTCCCACCGAAGTGGTACCTATTTATCTACTTGCAATTTCTTGCTTTCGAACTGCTAGGTTGGCAGGAATTGCAAGGATAGTGTTAACTAAATGATCTGATTAGGTGAGAACGTTTAAGTTCCTTGCCTGAGAGTTTCACAAACAATAATATACATAGGTCAATCAGATTAGGAATACAGTCTGTGGAAATCACAAACATTTTGCCAAGTATATTGCTGTAATAGTATCAGACCTTTTGACCCAAGTGAACATTTCCCATGACAAAAATAACAGTGTTATACCATGATGTGACCAAAAGATATGGCTGAACAAAAGACAATGGGACATTACACTGACATAATCATAAGAACATAAGAGAAGCCAATGTTGGATCAGGCCAATGGCCCATCTAGTCCAACACTCTGTCACACAGTGGCAAAAATACCAGGTGCCATCAGGAGGTCCAGCAGTGGGGTCAGGACACTAGAAGTCCTCCCACTGTTGACACCCCCCCCAAGCACCAAGAATACAGAGCATCACTTGCCCCAGCCCGAGAGTTCCTATCTATACCTTGTGGCTAATAGCTACTGATCGACCGCTTGAAGCCGTCCATGTTTGTAGCCGCTGCCACCACCTCCTGTGGGAAGTGAATCCCATGTGTTCATCACTTTTTGGGTGAAGAAGGACTTCCTTTTATCTGTTCTAAACCTTCTACTGATTAATTTGATTTTGTTTTTCTAGGTCTCAATTGAGGAAAGATACATGGGTAAAACGTGTGGACTATGTGGGAACTATGATGGACAAGAACTAAACGAGTTTCTGAGTGAAGGTAAGTTCATCGCCCCAAAAATTCCTGCCCAGGTATGATTTCATGATGCCTGGAGGAGCACTGTAGTTAAACCAAAGGAAATTTTACCTCTTACATTTTGTTTGGTTCTTAAACTCAGCAAGACAAAGTAAATATCACCCAAGCATTGGGATGATCCCCATATAATGCATGTACATAGACAGTTGTAAAATCACGTGTCCTTATTTCCAGGGGTCGTTTCGTAGAAAAAGAGCTAGGGGAACTCATTAGCATAACTTATTAGCATATGCCACACACCCTGACATCACCGGAAGTGTGTCATAAGGCCACACACCTCGCCCCCAACGGTCCCGGTCACCGCCGGTGGCCTTGCAGCTCCACTGACGAGCCCCATGAGGGGCCCGGCGGTGGACCTGCAAGGCCGGCGGGAGTGCAAGGAAGCCCCGAAAGACCCTCCCTGGCCCCAGGCAGGCAGGGGTGGGGAGAGGCAGGGAGGAAGAAACTTACCCTCCCTCTTCTCCTGCCTCCTCCTGGCTGAATGAGGGCCGGAAGCGGGGCGGCCAGAAGCAGGGGGCGGGGCTTCATCATGTGCCCCACCCCCCATACCTCACCCAGGGGAACTGCGATCCCCCGCGATCCCTCCCGAAATGACCTCTGCTTATTTCCAATCAGCAGGGCTGCCTTAGCAATTACCAAGGGGTGGCTGTCCCTGGGAGAGGGCATGGTTGGCCGGTTGCTGTCGGAGGACTCACCACTGACACCTGGCAAGCCACCTCTACTGCTGCTCGGCCCAGCGGCTTGGGCTCTTCCTTCCCCATCCATCTCCAACGGGGAGAGGAGAAGGCAGAAAGATTTTGACTTGTCCACTGCCTCTTGACTTTGCCCTCCTGAGTGGCACTGCAGCAACCCTTCTTCTCTCATCTGTCAAACAATGTGACTGGTGGCTGGGACCAGCAGCCTCTGCTCACAGCAAGAATGTGGCTGTTGGTGGTAGCAGCTGCCAACATTACAACAGTACTTAGACTCAGCCAACCTGTTTGTACTAATCCATTATTTGGGTAACCTTATTTATTTTATTTATTTATTTGGATTTATATCCCGCCCTCCCCGAAGGCTCAGGGCAGCTAACAGAGGCATAACGCCAAGTAATAACAATAAAACAATAAAATACTGACTAAAATACAGAATAAACTATTAAATAGTTAAACAGAATTCATAAAAACATTTCCGGTGCTCCCCTACTCACTTTCGAATTTCAAATCAAGATGGTGTTCTCAATGATATGACTACGTAACAGTACATATTCCCACTGTTGTCCCCTAGGCACGTCCCACTCCCTCCAATGGTACCCGCACCAGCAATGGCAATGTGTGGAAATTATAGGGCGTTGATGGAACAGTGGTGGTGGCGGCTCCTATTCAAAAGCCTGGCGGAAGAGCTCTGTCTTACAGGCCCCGCGGAACTGTACAAGGTCCCGTGGGGCCTGGATCTCCTCTGGGAGCTCATTCCACCAGATAGGAGCCGCCACCGAAAAGGCCCTAGCCCTGGTCATCGCGAATGGTTGGACTCTTGTAACATTCTGTACTTTGGGTAGCCCTCGAAGACAGTTTCCCACAAGGCACTCATCTCTGTTTTTGTACACAAACATTTGTCATGTATGAAAAATGAGTCTGTCACACGGCTGGATCCTTGGTTGACCCTGTGAACCAACAGGTTGTAGAGGCTTGCTGTTCACTGGTATTTTTAGTTGTACTCATTAACAAGCTCAATTTAATTTATATTTCAATTAATAGGTAAACTGCTGGATCCATACAAATATGCTGCCTTGCAAAAAATGGATGATCCTACCGAGATCTGCCCATTTGAGCAGATGACAGCTTCTAATGTTCCTCACAAGAAATATGTATGTACTATTTTTAACTTGTTTATAGAATTTATTTATCTGTTTATTTATTTGAGTTACATTGTACTTTATCCCATGAGCTGCCTACAGCTTACAGTGGGCTCACAATTTAATGAATTTGTTATAATTTATAACAATCTACTGCAATATAAATGTGGAGACTGCAGCTCAGTCCTAGATGTGCTGTAGATGGTGTCTCTGGAGCTCTGCCCAGGAGATACATGAATCTTCATTTCCAGGATCTGAAAAGCCCAACCTGTCCAGCAGTGACATCAACTGTCATTACTTTTGAACAATGAGAGTGACTGATAATAGGGATGTGCGTACCCAAATTCCCAAGATAAACATATACCTGAAAATGCCTTTTCAGGTCAATCCATGTATTTAGAGAATGAACAAAGGAATTAAAGGATTTTCCAGCATCACAAAGAAAAAGCAAAAAATTGAGTGAAAGAGGGAATCTTTCTGGGGATCTGGAACAGCAAATAGCACTAAATTAGCAGGGAACCATTCCACTCTCATCCCTAAAGAGTCACCAAGGCTTAAGAAGATTGGACAGAAGAGTCTGGTTTTGTGGACTCTTCAACAAGGTCTGGAACAGGTGTTTTTACAGCAAATGGCACCAGATTATTAGTCAGAAACCAAGCGCACTCTTTTTTTTCCCCTAAAGAGTCACCAAGTTTTAAGAGGATTGGACAAAGGAATCTGATTTTATGCTTCCCTCAAAAAAGGTGTTCTCAACTAGGGGTGTACATCTGGATACAATCAACCCAAAAATATACCTGAAAAATATCAGTATTTTCCAAGTATATTTTGGCATCCCAAAGATATCTGGAATTTTTCAGAAAGCTTTTTTAAAAATTCCGGATATATTCTAGATTTTCTGGGAACATTGGGTGCCAGCATTGCAGGATCCCAGGGAATTTTTTTTTTCCCCTTTTCTTTTCTTCTTTGTTTCTTTGTCTCCAGATTTTTATAGGCTGCTCCGCTGCTCTTGTCCATTTCAAGAGGTTTTATTTTCTTCTCAAGTCTTCCTTTGTGTTCCCTTCCCATTTTCTTGCATAGAGTTTGCAAAATCCCCCCTTCCCCCAATGGCACTGGTATCTGCTGGGCATTCTGCACATTGTAACTGGTTGTGCTGAGCTTGCAAAATTCCACCCTCCGCTTGGATTTCTTGTGACCCTGTGCTTTGAGATCAGTCCTTTTAAGCTTGCAGTTCCACAGCAACACTGGGTTCTGCTGGACATTCTGTACACTGAACTGATTGTGCTGGGCTTCAATCCCCCCACCTTGCTTGGATTGTGATTCTATGCTTCACATCAGTCCTGCTGAGCTGGCATTGCCACAATGGCACTGGGTTCTGCTGGGCACTCTGTGATTGCACTGGTACTGCTGAGTACTCTGTACACTGCACTGGTTCTGCTGGGCTTGCAAACCCCCCCTTTCAGTTTCTACTGCAGAGATTCTCTGGGACTTTATTCTGCTGGGCTTCTATTGCCCTCGCTCCTCCTTCTTCTTCTTTTTTGCTATTTTTCCTCCATCGGAAACAATGGAGGATGGGGCACCTTCTTTGGTGGTCCATAGAACTAGACCCCTTGTTCCAATCTTTTTGAAACTTGTGGGTTCTTCTGAGAAGAGGCACCAGCAGCTATACACCAACATTTGGTGCCTCTGCTTCAAAAAACAGGCCCCCAGATAACCTAAGATAGATTCCCCGTTGACTATAATGGTCCCCATAGGATATAATGGAGCTGAAAAAGTTTGGAATTTCCCCCCCCAAAAAAAAAAATTCCGAATCTGAATACCACACCAGTATTGGAATTCAGGAATATTGGGAATACTGGTATTTTTCAAGTCCAATATACCCAAACCCAAAAAAATAACATTTTGTGTGTGTACAGACCTATTCCCAATCATCCTAGTCTCCGTTGTTTCCTATGGAGGGAATATGGGCTCTCTCTGGGGGTTGGAGCAGCTGCACAAAAATTGCAGTGTACCCCCCCACCCCCTAAACACCCTCTAGATTCTGTGAGGATTGGATAAAGGGGTCCCCAGCTGTCCTGGTCTCCATTTTTTGAGGGGGGGGTGAGGGGGAGGATGGCAAAAGAAAAAGAAGAAGAAAGGAGGAGGAGGAGGAGATTGGCTTTATACCCCGCCCTTCACTCAGAGTCTCAGAGTGGTTTACAAACTCCTTTCCCTTCCCCTCCCCACAACAGACACCCTGTGAGGTAGGTGGGGCTGAGAGAGCTCTTTAAAGAACTGCTCTTTCAGGAACAGTTCTGACAGAACTATGGCTTGCCCAAGGTCATCCAGCCAGGTGCAAGTGGAGGAGTGGGGAATCAAACCCAGTTCTCCCAGATTAGAGTCCGCGCACTTAACCACTACACCAAGCATAACTACCCAGTGATAACGCTGGTTTACTTCAAAAGTTCAACTTCCTTTCCCACTTTTTCCACACCTACGACAAAACTGCAGCCATCCTTTTCCCTTCACCCACGAAAAAATCCTATAGAAATATGGCAATTAAAACTTGTCTGTTTACACTGACCATGTGTGTATTGGCATGCAACACAAAAATGGTATAAAATGTCATATGACATAAAAGGGCCAAAAAAAATGCTGTAAAACCAACAAACAGAAATGGGAAGTGGCCAAAGAAAATAGGTGGAACGAAAATCGTCTTCCTGATTGTGAATGAAAATAAAAAGGAAAGAAAATATATGTATGTTTGTTCATCCCTGCTTTCCAGCTGGCTTCATACCAACTTGGCCGAAGAAAGTAAATTTAAGATGGGAGGGATAGGGTAGCTAGACTGGATTCAAGATTGACCCGGCCCAGTCAGCATGAAATCAGTTAGAAAGTAATTCCACCACATCCATGGATATCATCCCTACCCTCATACATAAAGTGGCATTGGTGAAAGGAGCGCATTGCTTGACAGCCTACTTGGGATTTTATTTGCATTCCATAGAGGAAGGCACAAATATCCCTACGCTAGTGAGGAGTTGTCAGTGCAGTTTAGTTTGTGGCATAAATACAACCAGTGTTCCCTCTAAGCTGAGTCAGTGTGAGCTAGCTCACAGTTTTTTAGCCTCTGGCTCACAGATTTTTGTCTTAGCTCAGGAAGGAGGGCTCCAGAGCAAACTGATTTATGCAGCAGCCGAATGGTTTGCTCACAACTTCAATGACAGTAGCTCACAAAGTAGAACTTTTGCGCACAAGATTCCACAGCTTAGAGGGAGCATTGAATACAACCTGTCCCAAATTGTACCAGATGCACTTAAACTGCCTTCCTTTATTTTCTAGGCCAGGATCTGTGCCCACCTTCTAAGCAATGTATCTTCATCGTGCAATATCTCAAGGAAAGGATTTGTCATCCGCTGCCAACTCGACATGCAACACTGCAGAAACCCAGGGCAGAGAAATTGTACTTGCGCTACCCTTTCGGAATACTCCAGACAGTGTGCCATGTCCCTTCAGAAAGTGCTTGATTGGAGAAGCAGTGACTTCTGCTGTAAGTTACAGTGTTCTAGACTATACCTTCATTGTTGGGCTTAATTATACACAGTGAGCAAATTATAAAAACATAAATTTAATGTACCAAAGTTGCAACCGATTATTTGGATTGTGAATACCAATCTATTGTCATACACGGTGTTTAAAAGGGGGGTAGATCATCAATCACCGAAACTACTAAGGGTGTGAGGAAAGTATGTTCCCTATCATTTTTTTTAATGAGTACACATGAAGCCGCCTTCATTGGTCTGTCAAAGCCAGTATTGTCCACAGTCTGCCTGGCGGCTCTGAGCCAGAGGTCTTTCAGCTCACTTGGTGCTACCCGATGCTGTTAACCGGAGATTGTCCTGGAACAGAGGCAGAGCAAGGCAACAGAGCCCTATCATAGCCGAGAGTTCAGTCCAGAGATCAGATACCAGTTTCGCAGGGGTCAGAGTTCATGGGTCGTTCAGGAAAGCAGAGTCAAGGCAGTCTGAGGTCGTTGATCAGCAAGGTTCAGGCAGGTCTGAAAAGCACAGCCGAGGGTCAGTCCAAATGTCACAGGAGGCAGACAGAGCTGTGGTCATGAAGTTCACAAGGTTCTGATGAGTTATTTCCACAATCTGCAGTTCTCCAGGTCTGATTTATACGGGCATTCCTTAACAGCCTGATTTACAGCCATCTGCTCAGAGGTGCTCCTGCACTTACTCAGAACTGCTATCATGAAGCAGCTGGTGCCGAGCCAAGAGGCAAGCACTCGGTCTGTGTGATCTCGAGTCTTGTCGGAGCCTTTCCCTTTGCTGTTCGATTAATGAGGGACAGCTCAGTGGGCTACTTTCCTGCAGCTGTGCAGGTTCATCCCCGCTTTCTTGCGGGGCCAGCCAGTTTGGTGTATTGGTTAAGTGCACGGACTCTAATCTGGGAGAACCGGGTTTGATTCCCCACTCCTCCACTTGCACCTGGCTGGATGACCTTGGGCAAGCCATACTTCTGATAAGAGCTGTCCTTGAAAAAAAGAGCAGTTTCTGTCAAGAGCTCTCTCAGCCCCACCTACCTCTCAGGGTGTCTGTTGTGGGGAGGGGAAGGGAGAGGAGTTTGTAAGCCGCTCTGAGACACCTTTGGGTAGTGAAGGGCGGGGTATCAATCCAATCTCTTCTTCTTCTTCATTGGCTACTTCAGAGCTATGGGTGAGTGGTTCAAGGTCAGCTGCCGGCACTGAATCCTGAGGCTCGTGTATCTCTAATTCACTAACTTTAGCTGGTTCAGAGCTGGCTGCTTGTGGCTCCTCGACTCCTGAGGAGTCTTCAGCCACACTGGACTCAGGCTGGTCAAGCGGGCTGGCCCATGACAGAGATTCTGAGGGTTGAACCTGAGACCTTCTACACTCAAAGCAGATGTTCTACATTAAACCATAGACCCACATCCTTCTCACTGCTCTCCATTTTGTTCCCACTCCACTTCTCCCCTTCGTTGTTTCTACCTTCTCCATGCTTACCTTCTCATCATTTTTGTTCTACTTCTTTTCTCCCTAGCTTTTCCCATTCCATGGCTTTGGTAGCCCCATCAAAAGTCACTGGTATTCAGCACTCAGAGAGAACAACTGAACTTATAGCTGTAGATTAGTGTTGGCCAAGAACCATTCTGTTCTCTCAGCAGCAGTCTGTGGGCAGGAAGTATATTTTACCACACATATTGACTCCCCCTCCCAAGGTGAATCTCTGTAATAAAATTACTGCACCCCAGTATTAAAGAATCATCAGTTATAGTGAAGCATACACTTTTGTCCTAGTCAGGGCTATTTAGGGGCAGGAACGGAGTTCCAGCTGGCTCCCGAGTTGGCCACACCTGGCAGGAACTCATTAGCATAATAGACCACACCCAACAGCAGAAACTCATTAGGATTGGCTACATTAGGGGTGTGTGGCCTAACAGGCAAAGGAGTTCCTGCTACAAAAAAGCCCTGGGTTTGGACAACAAACAAGGTAAACAGAACAACAAGCGAAAGGTGGGTGTGGCTGGATGACCACACTTCTGGTAACATGGGGGTGTGGCCTAATATGCTAATAAGCTGTGCTGCCAGGGGTGTGGCCTAATATGCTAATGAGTTCCTGCTGTTGGGTATGGCCTATTATGCTAATGAGTTCCTGCTGGGCTTTTTCTACAAAAAAAGCCCTGGTCCTAGTCATTATTTAAAAGAAAAATACAATTTTTAAACATGGGCTATCTCTATATCTTACCACTTGGAAACTTTCTCCCCCTTACTAATGGAATGGTAGATAAACATTTTAGCATACCTTAAAGGAAATTAACAGGTCTGCTGTGAACCAGACAAAATCATCTTGGGACCTTTATGAGTCCATTGGCCACCAGCTATGGATAAGCCTTATTGGTATTTTGGGGTATATTTGGGGGGGGGGCATAAGTTGTTTGGGATTTTTAGGGATAGCAGTAAATGGGTCCCAAAACATTCTGGAAATATTTTAGAATATACAGGAATATTTGGGGGCAGCATTTTAAGGTATGGAACCCTCAAGATCTTGGGAGAGGCACCTCACTTCCTTCTGGATCCCTCTCTGCTAATATCATATTTAATCTGTCCATTTCTGCTATTTCGAATATTTTTTCCATTATTTCTTCTTTTTTAGGTAGTAAATCTGATTTCCATTTTTTCGCTATCAGAATTCTGCTTAACGTGAGGATATATAACACAATACATTTATCATCTGTATTTACTATATCTGGCAAGATATTAAGCAAGTAACTTTCCGGTTTAAGCTGCAGATCTATTCCTACAATTTCTTTTATCAAATATTTTACCATTTTCCAAAATTTTACCTGCTTCATTCTTGCCTTTTCCAACCTATTTTTTTTATCTACCTCCCATCTTCGGCTATATTTATTATTTAATTCATTTAGACCCCACTTTTCTCCACAGTGGAGATCAAAGTGGCCTGCATTAGTCTCCTCTCCTCCTTTCCCCCCCAAACCCCACCCTCCCTAGACTCCACCTCAAAATGTCCAGGATTTTCCAGACTTGGCGCTGGCAACCCTAGCCACTCAAAAGGCAAAACAGCCCTGGAAAGGGCTCTGCCCCTTCCCCCGCCTTTTACTCAGAGAAACCCAGCCTGGAATGCTGTGATAACCTAGCACCAGCTACTGAGAGAACATGTTTATTAAAGCTACAGGAGCTTCTTTTATCATTTGGAAAAACCTGGGGTGTTTTTCAGGTTTGTAGAAAGATCTATTTTGCCTGTTCACAGCTTCAGTCGCAGTGTTCAAGTATCCTCAGATTTGGCCAGTTTTGTTATTATTTATTTACTATTTATTTTGTTCTATTTCTAACCCACCCTCCCCCACAAGTATATTAGTATATAGATGATGATGATGATCTATGTCAAAAGATATTAAGGCTGAAGTCCTAAGCCTGCTATGAAGCAAATCCAACTGAATGGGATATACTTTCAAATAACCATGGCTGGAAATGATCACTGAAGTGGGGCAACAGGGTGGATGTTGAAGTGCTGATTAATATTTTCTAACTTGCAGTGATACCATACATTTAGAAGGGATAGTTAATTGTGAGGTATCTATAGCTGTCTTTGTCTGGATATAGAGAAAGCTAGTTCCTGAGTGACTAGAAATGGAGTATGGAAAATGTGTGTGATGTTACACGATTGATACAATTGATATTTTAAAGGTGAGGTAGACTCGTCTCAGTGTTGTATAATGCCCATTTTTAACAAATAACATTCTACAAGCTCTGCAACCCATTCTGTATTGCAGCTCTCAAAAGATGTCCAGCTAACCAAATCTATAAAGAGTGTGGGTCTCCCTGTCTTAAAACGTGTTCCAATCCAGAACACAGCTGTGCCAGCTATTGTACATATGGCTGTTTCTGTCCAGAAGGTAAGTGAACACAACAAAGACATAATGATTTCGCTAGACCCAGAATGCCTTCCTATCCTTTGTGCATTCAGGAGCAATTAAAATACTTGCCCTTGACTGGCTTTTTCCCGTTTTCATCTTGTGACAGGTACTGTTCTAGATGACATTTCAAGAAACCGAACCTGTGTTCCTATCGAGCAGTGTCCATGTACATTGAATGGTGAAAAATATGATCCTGATGATGTCATGACAGCACCATGCAGAACATGGTGAGTACTGGGAGATAACGATCAAAGGAGGATTGGAAGGAATTGGTCATCAAAACAGTTGGGAAACCTGGCAGAAATATCCACTCCATTTCTGGAAAGTCATCATTAAAATCCCTGTAACATTTCTTAGCTCCTTATTTTATATGGGATGAGATTAGCATTCTGTTACTAGGAGATAGTGGCCCCGGTCACACAGCAAAGTTGCCGCGGGAGAGGCACGGAAGGTGGGCGGATTATCCGGGTGTGATCACACCCCAACATCTGGGAAGTGGAGCTCACCCGTGGCTGAACGCCGACAATGCGCATTTAAAAACTAGTACCTCCAAGGGAATAGTAAACGTTTGCCACGGGCTGCCTCCAGACGCCCGTGGTGTGATCGCGCCAGCACGTGGCATTCCCCTCTGGTCCCTCGTTTACCCGCTGGCGCCGAGGGAAGGACCCGTGGTGTGCCGCCGGCGTGTCTGATCGCGTAATCGCGGATCAAACTGCACCGGGGCAATTAGTCACGCCTTCCCCCGCAATATCCGGCCCATGTGACCGGGGCCAGTATACCCCAAGTGATGTGGTACACTATATGTTGAACTGCTGCCTATCAATATGAAAACTCTTCGGTTAATGTCTACCCATTGGCACTTTATTTTTCTCTGTTAGTATGAGCTGAAAAACTGTAGATGCCACTTAAACCTTCATGGGCCTATTTATCATATAGCCACATTGTGTATCTGCATTTTGAAACTGCACACCAGAAGACTTTTGAACTTGAAAGTTCAGAATATAAGAGTTTTCTTTCCAGTTGGGGCCATGTTATTCCAGTGGGAGCTGACAAGCCATCCAGAATGTTGGAGAGAAACAGACGGCTGTGAGACTCCTGGAAATGGGTTCCTATATGTGAACCTGAGAGGACTGGTATACACCTACTTTCAGTGTTTCCGACTAATTCTTTAAATGTTCTTCTTAGTCAGCATTACAATGTGATGTGATGTGATGGTGCTAGAGAGGTAAATGAAAAAGCTGCACTCACACCAATGTATAACCATTATTTTCATTGAGTTGGATCAACTATGTTAATGGTGGATCATTCCTCCAATGCAAGGATACTGTCCCTAATGTGAGCAGCCTTGGCCTGGCACAAGAAGAATGCTCCACTAATGGGAGACTCCTTGCACCAAAGGAAGGTTGTACCATTAATGGGATGAAAGTTCTGAATCTAGTCTGTAGTCTTTGGAAGTCTACCTTGTTTTTTAATCCTTAAAGTTCTTTGACTTCATGATATTGTTGCCAAAAGTGGGAGAGAGAAGTATATTGCCCTCAGGCACTCAAATGCAAAGTGATGAGCTCAAAAAATGTATTCTGATTAACAGCTGATGTATACACTTTACTTTCCCCCAGTAAATGTAAAATGGGCCAGTGGAGCTGCAGAGAACTACCATGTCCAGGCATGTGTTCCTTGGAAGGAGGTTCATTTGTCACCACTTTCGACTCTAGGCCATACCGTTTCCATGGAGTTTGCACCTACATTCTTATGAAGGTAATCTACTTGACAATCAAATAGTTTTCACAGGTTTATAAAAGGACTTTCTGAATGCCAACATTGGCCAACATTTATCCTAGCTACTGCTTGTGGAATCACAAAATCACAACTTCTTGCTCTGCATTCCTCATATAGCGTATGCAAATGACTCGAAATGAAAAAAGGTTCTTGGGGAACTGGGAGATGGACAGTCTACATTCTGAATTTCTTTCTCTCTTTGATTCTGTTACAATGTTTTCGTCTTCTTTTGTGTACTGTTCCCTAAAGATTCAGGACTGTTATACTTTTCTGAATTAATTTATACAAATGTACATCATTTGGGTTTCTGGGTTTCAGAACTTGAAGTATAGAATCAAAGAGGCACATATCTGTTCCTTGAGAGCGAGTGTGTGTGAGGTACTGGTTAGAGTGTCAGACTGGAACATGGGGAAGCTGAGGTAAAATTCCCACTCATCCTGGAACCTTACTGGGTGACTTTGAGGGAATCGCTGTCTCTTAACCTAATCTATTTCAGAATTATTGTGAAGATAAAATGGAGGGAAGGTGGGATCAAAAACTTGACTCCATCTACATTGTACAGCAATGTTATAATTAGCTCCAAAATCGGCAGTGATAAACATTGTTGAGAATTTTTCAGTGATTGGAATTATAAACAGGCAAAAATGTAGTAATATGGACCAATTCACACATGACATTTTTTATTTAACACAAATGACATGCATCCTAGAGATACACTTGTCTGCAAACCTAGGTGAAAAATCCTAATGAAACGCAAACATTTGATTCAAAGTGATGAAAAAGGGATGTACGAGATGTTTATTTTCCTTCCCATAAAATTTGCTTTGCTTTTCCCCCCTTCTAGAGCCCAATGTTGCCACACAATGGAACCTTGATGGCTGTATATAAAAAATCTGGATATTCCAGTTCTGAGACGTCGTTGAGTGCTATTGTTTATGTCTCTTCACAAGTAAGTGCTCATCCCATAAAACACTGCTATGACAATAACAGACTAGAACAGACACAATCCCGCAGATAGACACATCTGCTCCTGATTTTCAGCTGTACAAGGGATTATGAGCATGCAGCGAGGGTTCCCAGTCTCCTGGTGAGGTGGGGCAGCCCCAAACCCAGCTCCCATTTCCCACCACTGCTCTAAGTAGTGGCAGGAGAAAAAATGTAAAAAAAATTGTCAGACCTATGGGCTGAGTTCAGACTGGCAGTTTGGCCCGTCAGCCAAACGTTTCAGGAGCGTTTCAGGAGCAGATTAAAGGGGCGGGTTCACAGAGGCACATCTGTCAGGCGTCCCTCAGCCGTACTCAATCCGTCTTGTGCTGCTTCCCTCCCGAGTTTAAAAAGCACCAGGAGAAAGTGGTAGCAAACCGTGTGTACAGCGGGTTGATTCCGGTTCCCTGACGTGTGAACGCAAACGTCGCTAAGGCAGGAACCACCCACAGTCGTTGATAATAGGCACTGGCCGTTTCCACGGCAGGTGCCCATGCACCCATGTGCATAGGTGCATGCAGCGGAGCGCAGAAACAGCCGCTAACAGCCTGCCGGGGCGGGCCAATAGTGTGAACGCTCCCTTGCGCTTCCTCCACAGTATCCTTCCGCTTCATTTGCTGCAGTGTGAATGGGAATACCACGACCAAGCTGTTCCAGGTCTGTTCCGGGTCTTCTTTGCCACGACTCCCTAGCGCTTCAAATTGCCAGTCTGAACTCAGCCCTAGAGTGTCATATCTGCATCACTCATAGATTCAATAAGGACCATAAAGTAAATTGCTGTAAAAAAATAAAAAATAGAAGATTAAACACACATATTTTACAACAAATTAAAGAATTTCAAATCTATATAGCCAATCTGTAAATATAGACCACAAACTTACTTCAGAAGTAAAATCACCAGGTACAGGATAAATATGCACATAAGACCTTTAAAGTGCAATCACTAGCCCAGTGATTATAAAATAAACCTAAGGGGGAAAAAATGAAAATCAGTATATCAAGCAATTTAAAACCCAAAATTAAATAGTAATATTTTTTTATGGAAAGGTTTTAATATTGGCCCTCCTTTTCACTAACCTTTGTTTGGTTCTGGAGTTTATTGTTAGGTTTAGTTTTTTTCCCTTCTTGTTTCTGCGAATACTGCAAACAAGCCATTCCTGGTCAGTTCCGGGTCTTCTTTGCCATGACTCCCTAGCGCTCCAAATTGCCAGTCTGAACGTGGCCATGGTGTGACATCCCTTCTGGTTGAAACACAGAACGGATATCATGACTCTCTAGGAAACTCCAAAAACTCATATGGTAAAATCATAGATTTTCCAGTGATATCTAGAGAGGACTTATGTCACTTCTGGGATTTTCCTGGAAGTGACATCACACTTTACCCTACAGCTGCCCCACATGTCCCTGCCCCCCTGTTTACCTGGCAGCTCTACATAGAGCACAGACAAAGAGAGGTAATTGGATATATTAGCTCCTGAAATCCAGTGTTGTGACTTACCTGGACAATGGCATCAAAGAAATTCCACCGTGCCCTTGCACAATATCATTAAATGTAGAACCATCCCATTTTGCTGGGCAACAGTGCAGCAAAGGAGTTTGTTAGCTTATCTTAATTGCAAAAATGATGGCAGTATAAATATTACTGTCTTACTTCAGAGTCAGGGCCTGATAGACTCTTCTTTTAGGTTTCTGGAGTACCCAAGAAGAGAACAAATCACTTGTGTTAAAAATTGATGTTAATAATGTCTCTTGCCCTTTCTTTTTGCATGCCTACATTACATGTTAGGCGAATTTTGGTATTCATTTTGGTCGAATGAAAAAGTTGGTGTTGAGCCTAGCTTGTCATTTACCAATGAACCAGACTTGCCAATCAGAATTCCATGTTTTCTTTCCCACAGGACAAAATTGTGATTTCCCAAAATCAGGTCTTAACTAATGAGGATGAACTTAAGTGGCTGCCTTATCAATCAGGTAAAATAAGAAAAGAGAATGTAGAATGTTCAATTGTTAAAACAGACAAGTCAGTGAATGTCATTTAAGTTATCCTCTGTTTTAAAAGATGTTGTTACCCACCATATACAGCTGAATTTATATTCAATTGTACATAAATAATTTACCATCTCTCTTGTCGTAGTAGAACAAGTCTGATCTTATTCAAGGAATTAGAGAAATCTATTCAGAGCAAACATTCAAGTTTGCTTGGGACTTGGGGCCAGGGTACCTGAAGGACGGTCTCCTCCGATACTGTGCAACTTGCTAGTTAAGATGTGCCTCTCTTTATGCCCTTGCCTTCAGAGGTGAGGTGGGTAGTGTCTAGAATACAGGGCATTTTCTGTGGTGGCACCTCCCCCTCGAAGCTCTCCTTTCTTTTAGGTACCTGGCCAAAACACATTTTCTTAGCCGGGCTTTTAATTAGGGAGTTTATCAGCTTTTTACTGGTCTGCTTGTGTTTTATGCATAGTTTGATGCTTCTTATGACCAATGGCTGTTTTTAATGGCTTGTTTTTATATTTTGGTGATTTTTATTTTTATTTTTTTCTAATCTGATTTTAATCTGTATTCTTGGTGCTTGGGGGGGGTCAATAGTGGGAGGACTCCTAGTGTCCTGGCCCGACTGCTGGACCTCCTGATGGCACCTGGTATTTTTGGCCACTGTGTGACTGAGTGTTGGACTGGATGGGCCATTGGCCTGATCCAACATTGGCTTCTCTTATGTTCTTAATTATAAACCACTTTGAACAGTACTCTGAAGATGTGTCATAGAGAATCCTAAATAAATAAATTTCAAGTGCCAAATAATCATGATACAAGACAGTATAATTAATGGTAACTAGATAAACCATAATCACTATTTTTCAATCCTATAATTCATTTCAGGGGACATCACTATCTTCAAACAATCATCTACTCATATTCACATGTACACAGAATTTGGGCTGGAGCTGATCATTCAAATTCTGCCGGTGCTACAAGCTTATATTAAAGTTGGCTTTCAGTTCAAAGGCAAAACCCAAGGTACAGAATTCCATATCCTTTGTTTCAGTGAATGAAGGCAGTGAGACTTTGTACACAAATACTTACACAAAGATTCTACTCAGCCCTATTTTGTCTTCCACTTCAAATATGGCTGATCAGTGTTTCTTCAAACTTTCCCTAATGATTTTCCTCTAGACAGACGTCATCTATTGTTAAGGGTATTCTGCTTTTGTACCAGATGCAATGGTGTGAACTAATTTAGTCCAATCCGACAAAGGACATACATATATGGAAACAGGCTTCCATGCATGTATGCATGGATTATGAATTGCCCACATAGAGCAGAGACAAGCATACACCAACATTTGCATTGAAAGCAAGTCATTAAATATGGTAATGGCTTTGCGTGGATTTATATCCACATTCTTAGAATCAGATAGAATGTATGTATCCCCTTTTCTAGTCTGAACCTCTTGTTACATATAACTATCTCAAGATCCAAATCACACCACTATATTTTTTCTTTGTACCTTGCTGTGGTCATGTATGCTGGCAAGTTACATTTGAAGACCTCTTGTTACATATAACTATCTCAAGATCACACCACTATAATTTTTCTTTGTACCTTGCTGTGGTCATATATGCTGGCAAGTTACATTTGAAGTAGATTCCAGGCTAGGTTCTGGTTAGGATATTTTTGGATGAGACCTGGTATACCTTTCAAATATAGTTTAGAAATTGCATGTAAGATGTAGCCTAGCATGACCTGAGACATGGTAGATCTCACCTTGCAAGATTTGCTGACAAGTTGTAGGATAGATGATGTTATTGACATCGTAGTATAACCACAAGAGGCATCCAAGCATATATAGAATAATATAAATTGATCTAAATTGAAACATCTCTAAACTCGGATATACTTCTTCATGTAAACCTTTACTGCAGCACAGGGGCCAAAGACATTGGTGACCCACTATAAACTGTGGGCTTCTGGTACTGTCTAATAAGGACAGGAGATATACTGGATGCCTCTGAATTTGACCAGAGGCTACTTCAGACTGGAATGGACTGTGAAATCTATTTTCATTCTATAATCACTCCAGAACTTATTTGTTTTAGGATCCTTTACAGAGTGAAACTTGGTAGTCTAGAACATCCCTATCTGTCATAGTCCCATAGAGTAGTACATTGGCTTACCAAAGAATTGATTTCATTCTTACTTGCCTTTCTTTCCTCCCATGTCTTTCTTTGTCACCAGGATTGTGTGGTAACTACAATGGAGAAACTTCAGATGACTTCTTAACCAGCATGGATATTGTTGAAGGAACAGCACCTCTCTTTGTGGATTCCTGGAGAGCAGGGAATTGCCACCCTGCCTTAGAAAGAGATACAGATCCTTGTTCTATGAGTCAATTGAACAGTAAGTGAAATGGTCTGCTTCACTGGATCGCTTTATCTTCTTCTGGAGTGATCATTACTATAAACGAAAAGCATGTTCCAAAGAGGCGCT